CATTTATTTACAGAGGCGGTTTCGTCCGAACTCCCTGAACCCCCTGGATCCGCCACAGAAGAGGGACAACGAAAATGATTATTTACCAAATAACTTATGCAAACAGGCACAACTAAAACGTTTATTTATAGCAAATGGCATTACAAAAAGGTATAACTGCAAAGTTTACTCGAATCAACTGTGTTCATTATGCAAACAACAACTTACTTTTCTATCTAAATCTAAATATATAATATATTTTCTAAATATTTTAATAGAATATAAAAAAAAAACAATATTCGTAATAATTTTATTATTACTTGAATTTGGATCATAGAGGATCGCTAATGAAAATAATAAAAATAAGCCCAAATAATATTGTAATTACAGGAGGATACAAATATATACTTATTATTTTACTTTATAAATAAAATTAAAAAATAATAATAATTGCAATGCTTGTTTAACGTATTTATTATTTTACTTTATAAATAAAATTTAAAAAATAAGAATAATTGCAATGCTTGTTTAACGTACAATAGAAACAGTCACACGCGAATTCTAAAAACAGCAGTTCTATTTCACATACGCATACGAACACGTAGTCGATCTTGTGCTGGACTTTAGACAAAAACAAAGGTCCCTAAGCCCCTCTATCCACAGGCTCCTCGATCTAGCACCTTGAGCCAAAAAAGCATTGTTAATACATAACAGCATACTGATGTTAATTCTCTTTCTTGTTTGAATGTTTGGGTTAGCCTATACATGGGTTTTTAATTGTTTGTAATTTTAGTATTTATTATTTAATGCGTTTCTTTGGTAGGCCTATTATTGTATATTTATTTGATTATTTGTAGTAGGCTTTTTTGGTTATGTAGGTGAGGTGCGCTGGGTTAAGTACGTATGCGTTCGATTGATTCGAACCAACTTCTTCCTCCATGAGCCAACCAATCTGCAATCAGGCCCCTCCCCCCGCCTGTGTCAGAGGGTATACCAATCATATTTTATTAACATCTTAATATCATTGATGTTGCCATTTCATGAGAATGCCGCTATAAAAAAATAAAAAATAAAATAAAATAAAACAAAATAAAAAATAAACAGCAGCAAACAAATATCGTCAAAGATGAGATTTTGACAACACCTTCTAATTAGTTAGTAGACAGGAAGGATTATGGGATATATGAGTTTAAGCATTCTTAATACATATTTTGATAAAATGACGAACGCACTACACAAACTATGTTCAAAGACCTGCTTTAGAAATCTATTTAAACATACGAATAGTTAAATGAACAGTTACATGTGAAGTTGAAAACCAGATCGTCGGGTACTTCGACAAAGCTTTTGAATCTTGTTTTAAATAATAAAAATGAAAAAGAAAAAAAAAAATAGATTAGAAAACAGCCTAGAAATCACAGTGCTTTCGTACTCCTTTTTAGGAAATACTTCCAATTTGAAATAAAAGTATCGAGAATAACGTTTTTTTCAATTATGGCGTAAGTCAATGTGGGGTGCTTAAGAAATCTACATAAAAGGACCCATGGGGCTCATCCATAAGACCGTTCATCCATACACAAAATTGATTTCTGGTACCACAAAGCTGGTTCTCGTATCTAATAACGATAAGCATTATCACAAAGGGCCAATGATATAATAGATTAAAATACAAAATTATTTTTATATTTGTTTATTCCCTGACAAAATCTATATAGTCTTTCAATGACATAATAGATTAAAATACAAAATCGGTGTTGCTTGACAAGGAGTTTCTAATTATATTAGCACATCACATCATGAATTCATTATAGTAATTAATCAATTAATTATCTTAACAAGTAAAAATGATTACTATTATACAAAAAAAAGAGTTTAATGAAAAAAATATGGTGGCTAAACGAATATCACATGTAATTATTTTTATATTTGTTTATTCCTCCGGAGAGAGACGATTCCTCGACGAAGGGTGAAATTCCCCCAACGAACACAAAGTGGTCCAGGGGGTGAAGCCCCGAAAATAGTGGGGGGGGGGGGGGGGCGGGGAGAAGGTTCAAGACGTTTGGTGAAATATGTCAATTTTACAACGGCAAATTTGCCTGGGCTATTTTTAGGGAACGTAAAATAAGTCCCCCATCTTTAATTTGTTAACAGTTATTAAAACCCCCTACAACACAATTTACTGGTATACCGTGTAAAACTCGGGAAACTATGTAACATACTAAAAGCATAGGCCTAGGTAAGTAAAAGTACGGGCTTTTCTTCCTCCAATAGGCTTACTGCCACAGTGTTTGTTTTGCTATTGCGCTTGGATGAATTTTTGCAAAGTCGGTCACCGATGATGTCATTAAGCGACCACTTTTTTTTCTAAGGTCTTTCAATACGATCGTAAAAATGACACTTCAAACTCATTTTTTTGTACAAAATCAATTTTATTCGGATTATATGACCAACACAAACGTTTATAATATCGCCCCCCCCCCCACTTTTTTTGCAAAAAATAATGTCTGGAGATAAAAATTCTAGACCTACCTTTTCAGGACCAGTGAGCTTTTTTTTTTTTTTTTTAATTTTACAATCAGAAAATTAGAATTTTTAAGAACATAAAAGTCATTAAAACACACTTCAAATGTCGGGAAAGCTCATTCCCGCTATCTACGAATTAAAATTTTCCCGGGGTAGAACCCCCGGATCATCCTTCCTTTTTGGGATTTATCGATTCATGGAAAAAAAGAATACGCATGCAACTACTCATTTATTTATGTAGGCCTATGTATACACACATAAAATAAAAAAACGAGAAAAAATTACCTGACCATTTTCAAGAGGGGAAAACCTTGAATTTTGAAGAACTTAAAAAGTCATTTAAAAGACATTTCAAAAGTCAGGGAAGGTCATTTCCCGCATTCTAGAAATCGAAATTTTCCCGGGGGAACCCGGACCTCTTTTTTCTTTGGGGTTCATTGGTTCTATTGATTCATTTTCAAGAGGGGGAAAACCTTGATTTTTGAAGAAATTAGAAGTAATTAAAGACACCTCAGAAGTCGGGAAAGCTCATTTCCCGCTTCTAGGAGTCAAAATTTCCCGAGTAGAACCCCCGACCATCTTTCTTTTTGAGATTTTGGGAAAAAATTACCTGACCGTTTTCAAGAGAGGAAACCTTGAATTTTGAAGAACATAGATTAAAATCGCTATAAGATACTTCAGAAGTCAGGAAAGATCATTTTCCACCATTTAGAAATTAACATTTTACCGGGAAGAACCCGAACCTCCCTTTTCTCTTTGGGTTCATTCATTCATTATAATAATTTTCAAGAGGGGAAAACCTGGAATTTTGAAGAACGTAAAAGTAGTTAAAAGACACCTCAGAAGTCGGGAAAGTTCATTTCCCGCCTTCTAGGAATCAAAATTTTCCCTGCGGAGAACCTCCGGACCCCCCACCCCTTTCTTTTTGGGATTTATGGATTCATGGAAAAAATCGTATGCAACTACTCATTTTGTTTTATGTATGTATACACACATAAGGCCTATCTACTGTAATAAAAATGCAATATATTTACCTGACTGTTTTCAAGAGGGGAAAACCTTGACCTCATTTCCCGCCTTCTAAGAATCAAAATTTTCCCGGGGGGAACCCCACCCCTTTCTTCTTGGGATTTATGGATTCATGGAAAAAATCGTATGCAACTACTCAATTTTTTATGTATGTATACACACATAAGGCCTATCTACTGTAATAACAAGGATAAATTTACCTGACTGTTTTCAAGAGGGGAAAACCTTGAATTTTGAAGAACTTAAAAGTAATTAAAAGACACCTCAGAAGTCGGAAAGCTCATTTCCAGCCTTCTAGCTATACAAATTTTCCCGGGGGACGACCCCCCCCCCTTTTTAGGCTTATCGATTCATTAAAAAAAGAATACGTATGCAACTTCTATTTTTTTATTTTTATGTAGGCCTATGTATACATACATAAGGCCTATTTCCTGTAATAACAATGGGTTAAAATTACCTGACGGATTTCAAGAGGGGAAAACCTTGAAATTTGAAGAATAGTAATTAAGACACCTCAGAAGTCTGAAAAACTCATTTCCCGCCATCTAGGATTCAAAGATTTTTCCGGGGAGAACCCTGGAACCCCCGCTCCTTTTTCTTTGGAGCTTATCGATTCATTGAAAAAAGAATACGTATGCAACAACTAATTTTTTTTTTTTATGTATGTATACACACATAACAGGCCTATTTACTGTAATAAGAATAAGAAAGTTTACCTGACCGTTTTTTAGAGGGGAAAACCTTGAATTTTAAAGAACAAAGTTATTAGAAACCTAGCTCAAAAGTCGAAAAAAGGTCATTTCCCGCCATCTAGAAATCAAAATTTTCCCAGGGGGAGGACCCCCGGATCCCCCTTTCCTTTTTGGGAAAAATGTTGACCGCCATCCCCTAGGTTTTGCCAGATCTGCATGATTCATATTCCCATTCATCATATGAGTGCCCCCCCCCACCCACTTTGAAAAAAGTTCCGCCGGCCCTGCAAGACACCTGATAACTATTGAAAAAGAAGCGGTGGCCCCACATGTGCTATTTTGCTCCTAGTATACAATCGTGTCATGATATGATACAAAGAGATACAGGAAATGGCGTGAATTCTACAAAAAATGATTTTAAATGCCTCGCCCGGTAAGACTGGTTTTTTTCGAGTATGCGGGGCAACACAGATCGTCGTCATTCAACTACTGCGTACCAACGTATAGCAACTAAGAATGTAGCCTACGTACATTGGAGTGGATCAAGCAGGAAAAGTTTATATATAAAAGTTTTTCCAATACATTTTCAGGCAAATATTATTTGTATTGTATACACTGGTTTTATTTATTTATTTATTATTATTTTTAGTAGTAGTAGTATTATTATTATTAAAATTATTATTATTATTATTATTATTTTTATTTATTTATTTTTTTAATAGAAAAATAGTTTTAAAAGCATGGATAGCTTATTTTAAATCACTTTCCTGAAAGCAAACATAATATGTTATCCGAACATGTGGTTATGCTGTTAAGAATCTAGCGGTGGTTACGCGAATCGCTTGCTAATTAGGTTGTATCCGCTTCTAAGATCGGTGATATCCTGAATGAAAACTAATAAAAATCATAGTTCAATTTCCATACAGCAGGTGATTATAGGCATGTAGGCATACATCTCTCTGATACTTGTGTACCAAACATGACTAGGGTTAAGTGTACTCTAATCGTTATCACGCTGCTGATACTACTAGTTTTACAAGAGGGAGATTCGTATTCGTATTATAGACGGCGTCGTCGTAGTTATTACACACCACCGGTCGTTGATTGCGAATGGGGCCAGTGGTCTGAACAAGAATGCAGCCACGAGTGTGGAAGCAGTGGTGTAAAGGTAAGAACACGGACTCAACTTGTTCTTGCATCAGGTGGAGGAGCAAGATGCACAGGTTCCTTTACAGAGACGTTACCCTGCAACAGATTCTGCTACAACAATGGAATCAAAATGAATGGTTTTTGTAGTTGTCGGAGTCCTTACTTCGGAAAATGCTGTTCTGAGTGTACGGTCAAGAATTGCCTATGGGGTGAGTGGGAAAGTTGGTCTAAATGTGTTCCTGATTGCGGAGGTACACGTATTAAGACACGTAGTAGAAATGTCACACAAGAAGCACAATGTGGTGGCTCACCTTGTCCTGAAAAACCCACAGAAGAACTTGAATGTGAACCAATTTGCTTAAATGGTGGCAACTTTCTTGCTGATCAGTGTCAATGTGTTATGCCATATAGTGGTGATTGCTGTGGAATTTGTCATGCGGCAGATTGTAAATGGAGTGAATGGAGTCATTGGACAATTTGCGAGCCAACTTGCGGGGGTAGTCGTCATCGAACGAGAGTAAGAGAAGAAGAAAGTCCTGCGATGTGTGGCGGCCGTGAATGCGTGGGCTCAAATACAGAATCTGAAGAATGTGAATCAATATGCTACAATGGCGAAGTATCTACAGAAGGGCACTGCGTCTGTCAAGAGTATTATACTGGTCTTTGTTGTGAGGTGTGTTTGCCACTGAATTGTAGTTGGGGATCTTGGAATGATTGGTCAACTTGTCAACCGGCCTGTGGAAACAACCGGCATAGGACACGTCAGCGAATCTTAAAAGGCCAGCCGAGATGTGGGGGTTCCTGTGCTGGTCTTCCAGACGAATCGGAGACGTGTGTCACGCTTTGTCAAAACAACGGGAGTCCTATGGATGGATATTGCTCATGTACAAGTCCATTTTCAGGAAATTGTTGTGAAAACTGTCTCCGGGTAGACTGCAAATGGAGTCCTTGGGGTTATTGGTCAGCTTGTAATCCCGAGTGTGGGGCAGTAAGAAATAGATCAAGAACAATGTTCATTGCACAAAACTCTCAATGTGATGGAGCACAATGTGGACCACAACCATCAGAAATATCTTTATGTCCTCCATTATGCTTTCACGGAGGGACAGCTGTTGGCAATGTTTGCCACTGCATCCCATCGTATACAGGGGATTGTTGTGAATTATGTGTAGCTATTGATTGTGTCTGGTCTGGCTGGAGTACTTGGTCAAGTTGTAAACCAGAATGTGGACCTACGAGAATCCAGACGCGAACAAGGACCATACTGACCCCAGAGTGGTGTGGTGGATTAGGATGTTTTGGAGACACAAGTGAGAATCTAACATGTTCTCCAATTTGTTTCAATGGCGGTACACCAACTAATAATACCTGTGATTGCCTTCCGTTGTTTACTGGTAGATGTTGTGGATCTTGTCAGCCGAGTGATTGTCATTGGGAAGACTGGCAGGAATGGTCATCTTGTCAGCCTGTATGTGGCACGAATCGGCAAAAGACACGAATCAGATCAATTCTTGCTCATGCAACGTGTGATGGACTCTGTCCTGGTTCAGGTAAGGACAGTATACGCTGTAATGATACATGTGAGCATAACGGTACACCAATGAACGGTTACTGCTTATGCCAAGAGCCATATTCTGGACAATGCTGCGAGAAATGCATTCCCACAGATTGTGAATTGACTTCATGGAACCAATGGTCAGGGTGTTCTCCAGACTGTGGTGTCAATAGAACTAGAACCAGGACAAGATCAGTAGATCGTGAAGCTGAATGCGGTGGATTGCAATGTGAGGCTAGTTTATTCGAACATGAATCATGCTCCTCCGTGTGCTATCATGGCGGGGTGGCTGAAGACGACGGATGCAAATGCCACACTCCTTACATAGGAGCTTGTTGTGAGATTTGTGGAGCAGTAGATTGTAAAATGACAAAATGGAGCTCTTGGTCCAGCTGCTTACCGGTTTGTGGAAATTCTAGACATCAGTCCAGGACAAGATTTGTAGAGAGACCAAGTTACTGTGGTGGACAATGTGTAGAAAATAATACATCTACCCGACCGTGCGAATCGGTTTGTTTCAATGGTGGAATTCCTACTACGGCAGGTAGTTGTCAGTGCCCAACACCTTACACAGGAGCATGCTGTGAAACATGCATTTCGGTTAATTGTACATGGGGACCTTGGGGAGACTGGTCATTCTGTCAACCAAAATGTGGGAGTACTCGTCAGAGACAGCGAATACGGATCATCGAGGAGCAGCCTGTGTGTGGAGGAACATGTGCTGGTTCTCCAACTGAAATTGAAGACTGTGACTCCCTTTGTTATAACAAAGGAACACCTATGAATGGCTATTGTCTCTGTCCATTTCCATTCTCGCCAATATCATGTTGTAAATCCACAAGTAAGTAAACCTTAATGATTCACAAGGTCATATTTACAATTTTAATCTGTTTCTTGCAAGAGCTGGCATCATAACCCTGCTTAATATACGTACTATCAAGGACCGCGCGTATTATGTAAATTTTGCTTCTCATTACATCAAAAAGAGTTAGCATGGTGAATTGCTAAGAAAGTGAATTTAGGACTCGTAATACATCAAATAAAATTGTATAATACCCTTAATAATACGTTTAATAAGTTGATTAGTTTGAAAATCAACGTTTTAATTCTTTTGTAAAAAATCTAAATTATCATAGTGGACTAAATTTAAATTAAATGTTGGTATACTGCCTTTATTTGTATCTTTTGTTTAGATGGTGATCCTTGTATCTATCATTCTCTTTTGAATAATCCTTGGAGAAGTGTCGGTAACTTAGAAATATTCAACAGTTCATGTGACACCCGTTTGAACTCTGACACTTGGTATCGGTTCAAAAGTGCTGGTGGCAACCAGATGAATGAAAAGTGTACCACCGTCAACACATGTGGCGTTAAGTTTCCGATGTGGTTAAATGGTCAGTCTCAACCATGCTTAATATTATGATTTGCATACACATTAATATAGGCTTACCACGTGACATTGTTAATTCATCGAAAATAACACTGCAGTCCTATTATTAGTACGTGCGTGACAACCTAAGATTTTACAACAACGTACCGAAGAAATGTAGTCACCAAATCCACTAAGAAATTTTTATAACCATCAGATATTATACGGTTAATTTAGTTGGAAGAAAGATAAATGGAAGTCACGATGTATTCGGTTCAAATTCAGATCCAGTAATATAACGTATTATTATGTGTACAACCGAAATGCACATACTATGTACGGTAATGCTGGTCTTGTTTGCACACATTTATGTTTTTTTTTTATTGCACATACAGCTTTTTTGCTTTTTTTTTAGGTAAACATCCCACTACACCTGGGCAGAATGTAGAACGTTACGCATGTGTAAGTGCCAGTAAAGACGGCGTCACAAAGTGTTGCGAACACAAAACAATTGTTACAATCAGAAAGTGTTCAGATTTCTTTGTTTACCAGTTACTTGCTACCCGTACATGTGAAGAGGGGTATTGTATTGGTAAGTAGATCTGGTCTGCAATAATCTGATAAGATTAATCACCTCCTTTGTAAGTTTTTTTTTAAATTAAATGACCTTCCTCATTCCTCAACCACTTAGCTAAATAACAAATTTAGTAGTAGTCTTTTGAGAGTACGAGGCCATTTTTTTTCTGCTTCAGTTCTCGGACACCTCTTAACCATTGTTTTCTCTATTCACATAAACACCCTGATTCAGTTCTCATCATCAAACTTTAATTTTCGTACTGATGACATATATTTTATATCTAAATATATATATATATATCTAAAGATATATAATATATAGAGTTATTTTCATTTTTACCTACTTATCGAGTGTAATGGTTCCTTCTATATTTGGTTTATAATTGTGTTCATGCGCATACGCATATTCAGTATTAGATTTTACATGGGTTGTGTGACTTTTATATTTTGAAACTTGTTTCAATCTAGCTTTTAATTCTTCACGTCTCTCAACAGGATCTTCAGATAATGGTTTTTCCCCCATTATATTCACACAAACCTAAATATCGAATAATACGTTCATTGTTTTTCGATTTACCCATATTTTTTAGTTTTAGATATAATTTTTAACCCGAAAATTCAATTTTTTTCCCGCAAATTTGGGAAATTGAAAAATTGAATTGACTTAAAGAAATTTATCTCCAATAATTAAAAATGAATCCTAAAGAACTTGAATCTAATAAGAAGTTACTTTACTTTACTCAACTTTACGGATACAGATCAATCTATGGAACCTATTTAGGTTGCCCTATAGAGATAAACCTTTGTGTACCAGATCAAGAATGGAACAAACACTTTACTTGGATCAACGGTAAAAAGGAAGTAAAACCAGGTCACCTTAAGATTTACGCTGAAGTAGATAGACTTAGAACTCTATACAAACAAACAAAGTGCTGTCACAATTAAATATTTTATAACCCTCTCGAGGAATATAAAATAAAAACTTTATCTCGAAAATATAACTATAGTAAACAATACTCCTGTAAACAAGGCTAACACCGTTAGTTTTGTAGATGGACTTTCTCTGGTATATTCAATCTCTTTTTGGATTTCATCATTATCCATTTTTATTATACCCAGTCTAAATATTTAACTCATTATATGCTGGAGGTGCTGTTGGGGGTTAGACCATTTTTAGTCTTTGAAAAAACAAAACTCCCTGTTATACTTATTGGTTGTAATCTTTATACTGCAGTAATATCCCGGGCTAGTATACTATCTTGTATTTTTTTGAAGGCCTCTGTCTTTCCATCTCGGAAACTCTGTTCCACTAGCGCTTGAATATCTACCTTATCATTCTCCTTTTTAAGATTAATCCTTATCTCGTTTTTCTGATTGAGATAGTTTCGGTACGCATCCTCGATAAACTGGTATTCTTCATGACTTATATCTCAATCAGCCCTAGCTTTACTTACTAGTTTACTCTTTGTACCGAGACTACTTTTTCCAGATCTTTTTATCTGCAGATGCTTGGTCAACTTCTTTTTCAGAGGTTTGTTTACAGCTATCCCAACCCCGGACAAAAATCCCAAAGTACAACCAGCAATACCGATAGGAATTCCAACCGGTCTAGCCAAAACTGTTGCCGATAAAGCAACCCCCGTAACACCACTTATTGCTGAAATTCCCAACATATTCTTGCTAGTTGTCGATAATACAGATACCACCTTTTTGTATTTATGGTAAATCTTGTCTCTGTCTTGAATCTCTTGCATTAGAGATTTTTCAAGAAAGTCGATCATGTTGAGCCTATAACTACCTTCTTGAGGACCCTGTGAAATACTTTCCTGTATCATTTTTTTTACATCAAAACTCATATTTTTATTATAATAATGCGTCTGCAGTTTCCTTTAATGCAGGATTTTAGACGGTTAAAGAAGTTGTTAAAAAAATTAACGCTAATAAAAGAGATTTAAATCTCAGGAATGTTGAATACGACGATGATACTGGTAAGGTGACGATATCAACGAATCAGCTAGGTTCCGGCAGTGAGTTACCGTGATTGTACACAAGTCTTGGCGAAATTTTTAGGTTTTGAACGTAGACCCAGACTAACTCCGAATGAGAGGGTGAAAAGCGCGAAACCTGTTATGACTCAACCAGACTAATTATTTATACACTTAGATGAATTGTGCACTCACGAAAACGTTTTAAATAAAAACAATATTGACCTACTATGCGTTGTACCTTTAACTAAACGAGAAAGTCTTGAGGATTTAATTAAAGTGAACCGATACGACCTCGTGGATTATAAAAAATTGAGACCTGGAACGATAACCTCCCTCACTTTTAGGATATATGATGAAGAAGGTAACGAGGTTGATAATATGGGTGAGCTGTTTACCATTATCCTATGTTTGAAAATGACTTAAAGAAATCAATTTCATAATAAAAAAACAATGTCTATTAGTGAAGCAAAGAAATACAAAAAATACATTTACCAAACAATTTACAAAGATAATAAACCATATATTTTACAGTCTAGTAAATCGGATGCAAATTATGCTGTAAACCAAAACTCTTCCTCGTTTGGTATTATTGTTCACTCGGACAACCTTAATGAGTTTTTATGTGGAAACTAGCAATCACATTCTAAAGGATTATGAAGAAAGAGACAGTTGGATGACCTGGGTTAAACTTGACAAGGACGTCAAAGTTCACGTCGAAGAATCTCTAACCAATAAAAGAATGTATGAAATTATTGCAAAAATTCAGGGGTTGAAGGGGGGTGAAGGGGTTCTACCTAGACTCCTTTGGTAGAAAGTTTCTCCAGATGAATATAATGGCTGTAAGCTGCAACCTTAAGCCGAAGCAAGAAATTGAACTAGATGATGATATGCTTCTTTGAGAATTTAAACAATTTATTCATTATAATAAAAATAATGAATAACATTTCAGAGATGGTTGAATTAGCTTATCAGGAGTACGAGAATAAAAAGGACCAGGCATACCATAAATACGAGAGTGATAAGAATCTGGCTTACAAACAATATCAGGAAAAGAAGAATGAAGCTTATGAAAAATTTAGGAACCTTGATTAACAACATTTTTATTCCTTTATATAATAAAAATGTATCGCTTTATACCGAATGTCAAGTACGACCCTAAAGTGAAATACAATAATAGTAAGGTGACCAACCTAACTAACCAACAGATGACTTTGAGTGACACGAAAGCATTTACGGTTAATTTCCCAGATATCTTTCATCTTTATTTAATACGTATAACCAAAGATGACGTTGAGCAACGTTGGGGTGATATACATAAAAGTAGGACAAGAGGATTTTGTCAACAAAAAACTAGATATAGCTTGGAAGTAATTTCCTTACTCGATGGGCTGGTATCAAAATCAATTGAACTTTGCAATTTGGTGTGCATCTACAGGTTGCGGTGTAGGATATGATTTATTAACTTAAGGTGATGACATGCAAAGATAAATATTAAAGTTCCACGTCTATTATCAAACTCGACGAATCTTGAGTGAAATGTCTTGTCCCATACCGACAGATGCCGGTTTTGACCAATTTGATTTGAACGCGTACGAACGTATTTGTAACGAGTTTGGTGTTTCCACCCATACGAATTGGAGAACTAATAAAGGAAATAAATATTCAACTTATGGGGATGTCGAATCTCGTATAAGCCAAGGCAAATACCATATAGACGATTTTCGACAACGAGGGTTAACTTATAAAGTTTTCATGTTGGATACGACTAAAGGTATCACTAAGGGTGGTGTTATAAGAATCAATGAAAGTATTAGAACTTATATATATTGCATATTATCAGCTCAAAGTTCAGTAAGATAAAGCGTTATAGGTAACTATGATGTGCAGAAACAATTTCTACAACTAGTTGAAGACCCTACTAACTTCAATATTGAAACTTAGGGTTGCAGTACCAGGTACTATACAATCGTGTTTACTTAGCATAGGCATCCTAGCTGTAAACATTTTTTCCGAATGCGCTTCAGTAACCGAAGTGATTGGAATACTAATAGAGCTTCTTCGTCCTTCAAGTCCAGGTTGAACCCTACCAGTGTATCTTTACATCTTTTTAGGGTTATTTCCGTACTCAATACTCATATTTGTTTATATTATTGTTAATTAAATAAACATAAATATGGACTTTGAAAATTCAGTATATGATGATCGAGAATATATATTGGAAAAATCCTGAAGATTTTGACTTGGGTGAAGGGTTTTAGGAGGTGGAGCTGTAGGAGGTCAGGTTGAAGGTATCGATGACCTGGATCCATTGGAAACTTTAGAGAGTCGTAAATATTTGATATCTGAGATGAAAAGATTTACCGACTTTTCAGACTATGAATTTAGAAGGGGAAACTTAAAAGACATTAATGTGATAGTTTATTTACCTGGATGATTACAACTTACTTACAGAGAAGGGAAAATGTTTTATTCGACAAAAAGTGGATTTAGGTTAGCTGGTAAAAAGGTTGGTAGTTCTAATTCAATTGGCCCTTACCCGCCAGTATAGTAAACAAGTACTTTGACAAAAAGATTGTCCATCAAACAGATACAGCTATCGATTTAGCATACAAAATACCGAGTCGAATAATGGATACTGTTAATAAAGCTAGATTGTTTACAGCTTTGACCCCCGAAATTCAACAAGATGTTAGGGAAATTGAAGATGCAATTATTGAATTAGAGGCTGAAACTGCTCTGGATGAAGCGTTTACATAATTAATTCCAGATGAAGAAATTAATATAGATGAAAGTTATAGGATAACTCAATTTTAATTTGAGGATACTCCTGTTACGACTAGATTAACAAAAATTTAGAAACTTAATGCCTAGAATTAGAAATAGGTTGTACAATATTTTACCTAGAAATGAGAGATTGAATAGAGTTATAAATAAAATTTGGTGTAAGGAAGGGTTGACGATAACCGCTATAGTAATAACTGTTTGGGATATAATAACGTCGATAGTTACCGTGATAGGTGGGTCAACTAGTGAGGATATAACTCCAGAATCTGAACCCGATGTACCTTCCGATAATGGTGATGAAAATAAAAGTTGGGTTAAAAAACAGTTTGAAAAACTAGCCAACTTGCTAATTAAAGCTAAATACTCGCAAGTCTTCCCGGTATTATTGGAAGTATACTTTCTTTTGTTCTAAAGTCAGCCGGATCCTTTTTCGGTTTTGTTGCCAAGAATCTATGGCTGGCTGCTGTAGCTATAGTAGGAATAGCTGACCTCGAAAAAATGTCAACAGACCAGCTTGAAAATTTATATAGGAGATATGACAGTAAGTTAGGTTCGGAAGTTACAAAGAGTTTAGGTAGAACTTTTATTGAACTTTAAGTTTGCGGGTAAAGTTATTTCCATATACGATAAAAAGGAACGATATCGAACAGAATCCCATTATTCAAAGTAGTCTAGACTCCGTAGCCTCTCAAATGTTTTACTATTTCGGAAGCTTTCTAGCCCCTATCGCATTGGTTTTGGAGACTGGGAAGCATAGCAACTCTGTTGTCCAAGACAAAGAACAACACACATAGTTACAACATGTAAACACACATAATCACACACATATGTAATTTTTTTTTAATTAGCTCCCAAAATTGGGGGAGCAGAATTTATTTTCCTCCTTAACTGACCATAATTTACAATGGTGGAGACCAAATTCCAGCTAACCCAAGTGTAGTGCAAAATCCCCATTCTACTTTTTTCTGCTCTCCAAATTTGGGGAGCAGAAATTAATTACCATAAATATTAAGTGGTTGAATAGAAAATTTATTGCCCAAATTCCTCAACCAGTACAAAATTCCTATTCCACAAAATTCTGCTCCCCAAATTTGGGGAGCAGAAATTAATTACCATAAATATTAAGTGATTGAATAGTAGAAATGTATAGTCCAAGTCCAAATCCAAATTCAAATTCAATTCCAATGGTTAATTTTCCTTAATCGACCCAGTTTCAGTAAAAATGAATTAAAGGAAAGATAAATATATAAAATTTTGATAAAATGAAGCACTTAAAAGAGTTAAGCTACGTTCACATCAAGCCCGGATTCCAGTCCGGAGTACGGACCGGAATCCGGGCCCAGTTACGATTTCCGGTTGTGCGTTCACATCGCGTCCGGGGAACAAAGCGTCGGGGTCAAAGGAAGCAAATAGGTGGAACGACGTCAACATCTGTCTCTTATACACATC